CTTTAGTAATTATGGACACACTTAATTGAGAAATTTCATGGTCGAAGGGTCGTTTGAGTGGGGAAAGCGGCGGTTTATGATTAGAAAGGCTTTGAGTTGCGCGATTTCTACATACTTAATATTTGCTGGTCAATTTAGCTTTATTCTATACGATGATTTTAAATAAATATGTTTATACCTTACATTATATTAATATTATCATAATCTATATGTATTATATTTTATTTAGTAAGAATATTGATACTGAGCTCTGGTGTGCTTTTTTCCAAACTTCCGAAAGCTTTAAATAAGTAGTTTCGCGACACAATTGTTTGAAATTTGAATTATTTCATTAGCATGTCTGGGTCACATGCCGCTTTTCTGGTATTTAATCTCTTTAATTTAAAATTCCTATGCATATACCTACCATTTTTCAATCATTTTACACTCTATACCTATCAATTTTTCTTTGAAATTAAAATACCTATTATGAAAACAGTATTATTTAAAATATAAGAGACTTACTTCCTTATAATTTAAAAATCCAATATAATGTTCACATTATAAATCTTCGCCCAAATTTGGTTAAATTATCCCGAGGCTATACATTCCGGGAGTTACAGTGGTAGTTTCCTTATGTGAGCACAGGCATGTAGCTATAAGGCAATAAAGAATCGACAATGAGTCTGGCAGTGTTTGCGGACCACCGACGACGACTCGGCTACCACTTGGCTAACAACAATATTTACTAATGTACCTGTAGGCATGTGGATGGAGCAATTATGACAACAATTACGTGGCAGTTTTCGGATCTATCGTACATTAATTTGTAATATACATTATTTTTGTTTTATTACTTCTGGATTTATATAATACTAGCAGAACTCGCGGCTTTGCTCGCGCTAAAACTACAAAAAAAACTTTAAAGGTAGTTTCATACAAAACTTTCATCTCCTATTTTACTCCCTTATAGGATGAATTTCGAAAAATGCTTAAACACGTATTTATTTAATTTTTTTGAAGAGTATTAGTATAATGTTTCAAGTAATTCTGATCATAAATATTTTTTTGGGTTGTATTATAACGTGTTTACCCTTGGAAAATAGATAATCCCTCGCGATAAAAAGTAGTCTATGTCACTCTACAGCTCTCTAACTGTCCTCACATGAAAAAACACGCTAATCCGTCACTCCATTTTGACGTGAAAGAAGGACAAACAAACAAACGAACAAACACACTTTAACATTTATAATATTAGTATGGATTGTATAATTATTACATTTATAATTCATTACTATAATTACGTTGGTATACGTATACTGCTAATTAAGTTAAAAACTTTAATATTTTATTAATAAAAGCCTAATCAAGTTAAATTTTGCATGTTACAATTATTAATAAGTAATAAATTATTAATTATATCCTAATTAAGTTAAATTTTCCTGTATGGCAGGTTTTCCTCTTGTGGGTACTAAATACTCACATAATACACATATATGTACATAAGTTTGTCCTCTATGCGTTCCTAAACCGTTGATCCTTATACGCCCGCGAAGGTTCCTGGCGCAAAAAAAGATTTTTTATTTGGATGTTTGTGTTTTATGCATTCAAGCTTTATATAAATGTATTATGGTAACGAATTAAAACATGCAACATGTTTTTTTGGAAGATTTTAATGTTTATTTCCATTTTTTGATTTATGGCAGTCTTTTATCTCAAAGGAACGTATTTTGTGCATTAAAAAAACTTTTTAACAAAAAAATAAAAACCGACTTCAAACAAAAGCACTAAAAAGTAAAAAATAACTGATTGGTAGTTTTCATTTACTATACATACCTAATCAAATATTTTCGAAGTCGGTGTGCTTTGCTTTGTATGGGCTGGCACCGATTTAGAAAATATTTGATTAGGTATGTATTTAATAGGTAGGCTTTAATTACTTAGCCAAAGCACACCGACTTCGAAAATATTTGATTAGGTATGTATAGTAAATGAAAACTACCAATCAGTTATTTTTTACTTTTTAGTGCTTTTGTTTGAAGTCGGTTTTTATTTTTTTGTTAAAAAGTTTTTATTTTTCCCTTTTTAGTGTAGACAGTAGTAGCAAAGTAAGGATTCTAACGTGTTAGGCTTGTCAAATCAAACAAAATAAGCCCAAACTCAAAGTATCTACTATTAGCCGTTGAAGAGTTCCACCTATCCACCTTCTGGCCTTGCCATCAGATCAGGTCAACAACACCGAACCACTGTACCATCAACGGAAATAGAAATACTTGCAAAGTTTCAAGTCAATATGACAATTAGAAGTAGGTTAAATTCATAATTAGTTGTTTTTCCACCCTTAGGGGTGGTATTTTTTTTTGAAATTTAAATGGGACCAATCTGGAAGTATACCCTTTCAAACAAAACAAAAATTGTCCAAATCGGTTAATAAATGACGGAGTTCTGAGGTAACAAACATAAAAAAAAAAAAAAAAAAACATACAGTCGAATTGAGAACCTCCTCCTTTTTGAAGTCGGTTGAAAATTTAAATGGTAACTGAAAGCTCTATTTTATTAGAAATCTCTTTACTTTATTATATTTATTTAGAAACTGTTCTTTGAGAATAATAGTGACATATTATTAGGTCTGAAAACCTTAATGTAAAGTAGATATAAGTAGATAAACCTGACATCCAAATTCATCCCTCTCTTCTCACTTTGAATTATGAGCTTTTTTTTAAAAGCTTTAAGTCAAGTATAAAATTACATTTCGATTTACAGCAAACTGTACATCAAAAATATTAATATAATACATAAAATTTCCGCGTGGGTGCGTTCGGCACGTAACACTGCGTACGCACGTTTTGTGCGTGTAGGCATTTTGTTCCTATCATAATATCATCCTCAGTCCGCCGTACGCGCTCTTTGATCTTTTCAATTGCCTTAATCTAATAGACTTTCAATAGATTACTTTTTTATTGCCTCCTATTTCTTCTTCGTAGAGATAAGAATCGCACTGTGATTCAAAACTATTCAAAGTGAAGTGCAATAAAAAGACAAATATCAGTTTTATAGGTTCACAATATTAATATCATCATAGAAATTAAATAGAAAAATAAATAAATTATATATCTGTTAAAAAACAATGGGCTGATTAATCTAACATAATGTAGATCTGCCCGCTAAATGCATTTTTATTGTAAGCTTTATCTAAATGTTAGTGCAATATGGCATTGCTATCAACCTATGTCAAGGATTGATGGCGTATTGATGGGGATTTATAGAGGTTTGCAGGGCGAGGCCTGCCAAGGATACGAACACACTACAAACAGGAGCGCCATGTTGCCGATGTTTAAATATCATTTAATGGAGCGATCGAGTTTCCTAACAATGTTACTTATAAAAATAGTTTTTAGCAGCTTATAAAAGCAATTTGTGAATAATATTTTTTTTCAGTTATGGGAATGTAAAGATTATAAACACGAATTAAAAAACAGAACCAAGTAGGTATAACCAAATAACTAGTATTTATAATAAACTCACTTCTAAGATAGTTAATATGCATAACAATTGCATGTCATTCACACAATTTTAATTTAATAATACAATTCTGTTTATTAATAATAGGTATACCAAGGCGTAGGCGCATTTCGTGTTACCCCAATGAGGGCAAGATCGATTGTAGTCACGTGGGCGCTTAACTGCTTCTCTAAACGAACCCTTCGTAATTTAAATTAGTCACTATTGAGTGTATGACTTTCGCGGTTCTAAAAATGAAGCATCATCCTACATCCTACGCAATAGATACATCATTGAAAGCTCGAATCCATTATTTATTTAACGCGTAAGTAGGGCGCACGGTTTTCTTGAGAACGCTTTTAACAAAATGTTTAGATAAGGTGGTGTCGCAACACCAGTGAAACAATGAGAACTTAATTGTATCTCCATGTTTTCTGAATCCCTTTAACAAAAAGTACGTATAACTTCACATGTGGGTGTCTAATAAAGCACTGAACGCCTGTACAGAATTCAGAGATCACGAACAATGGCCGCATGATAATGATAAATAAGAAATGCACAATAAAATTTAACGTGCATTCTTTGAATTGGTACACAATTGTGGTTTTATTATAAATAAAATATAATGTGGTATTACTGCTGTAAATGTATTTTTAATTAAATTAATGCACAATGCATGAGAACCATTCTGAAAGTCGTTGAGCACATAGATAGTTAAAACATAAAAGTATATGAGTATACTGCGGTACACTTGTAGTTTGTACATTACGTATGCTGTAGTGATAAAATTATGGGGTTTAGTCTCCGACACTAATGATAAATTGAATACGGGATGGGTTATTAGATATCGAATAAATAAACGCGTGCGACATAATCGATTCGATTTGACATGATTGATGTAATTATTTTGCTGTATATAAATAAAAATTTTGATTATTCTGATAAATGGCTTGGTTTATTTACATTAAATATAGTTATTAATTAAGGTGAATAATGAGATAACAGTACATAATATAACGTTTACGTACGCTAATTTTATAAGCGTTATTAAAATTAAATATTTTATCAATGATAGATGTTGATAATTTCTATAATTAAATATCTCCCACACCCTTGTTCTAATCAAAACGTAATATACATTAACGTATTGCTGACAGTAACAGTTTAGAATGTTAGAACCTTATCTTATAGATCGGTACACATAAAAATTTGTAATTATGGATACACTGTGTAATATCAACAAGGGTTCCACCGCGTAGACATCATTAGGACCTTTATATTACGACGTAATGACAGACCCTCGACTACAACGTAAAGAACGCTGCTTCTTACTGTTACTTTTCCATATATTATTCACAATTCTATTATATGTCGTGGACATTTATTTAATCCGAATAATTAATATTATTATTGCTGCATTATAATATTGAAAATCTTCCTACTAAAGAAAGATAAAGCTTTATTGTTTGTGTTATATCAATTTCGTATTTTATATTAATTGTAATTTATTTTGTTCACAGGTTACTTGTGGGTGCACCTTTAGGGCAGAATCTGCAGCCGAACACGACAAAGTCAGGAGCACTGTGGAAATGCGGCTTAAGTTCGTCTCCCACCGACTGCGAGCAGATCGTTACCGATGGAAAGAGAAGTAAGCGTTTCAGTCCCACATAGAAAACGGATGCATAGATAGATGCACCTTAGAAGTGTTTATATTATACATTTTACATTGCCTATTAATTAGTATCGATATGCTAGTTAATAGAGACCTGAAACAGTAAATCGATACGTTTCTACTTTCGGTCGAAATAATAATGGCTTAATTATTATTTCCACAGTGGATGGTAAATAATATAAGAAAAATAGCAAGCAATTGTTAATTAAATTGATTGTACCATTTTACATTAGTTTTGTTATATAAGTACAAATACGTACAGAACACATACTTTGTATGTTTTTGATATGTGAAAGTAATAATTTAAATATTAAGCTCGCATTTATTAAAGATGTTTGAAATAATAAAACAAAAACGTAAAAAAACTTGTTTTTATAAAAACATCGTCAACATTTAGAAATAATATAGTCAATTCAATTCCTGTAAAAGTACTTGCTAATATTTTTATACTGCATATATGCAAAATGCAGTTAATTGTTTTTGATCCTTTTTTTCGACTCATATCACATACAGTACTTCTTACTGATTCTCATTTACGAGAAAGATAAAATTGAATATGGATAAAGAAAAAGTTTAATACGATAAATGGTACGTGTTTTATATCGTAGGTGTGAATTAGTTATTCGTTTATTTCCCATATTCATTTGGTTTTTTAAATGTCTGATAGTCGTAAATTGTTCCACGTATAATAAAGTAGAATACACTAAAGATAGCTTTAGATACAAGTAATTATGTAGTTTTCACACTGTCACAGATCTATACATAATCACAAGCAATATTAGCTTAAAAGGAAATGCTGGAACAGTTAAATCTGTCAACAAGAGTGTGTCTTTATAATTTTTAACTAAATTGTTGTCTTTTGTCGGTGGTGCCCCAAACAGCGAAGTACCGCAAGTTAAACACGAGTAAGTGAGCTGTGGTCTCAAACTTCTTTTATACATTTAATCATTATTCTTTGACTAATCGCTGTACTTTTATAGTTCTAATAAACTAATAAATAATCTACTTTATGCTAAGTTCCAGCTATGCCCTCGAGAACACTGTAACGCATGTACTAACTGAATGATACCTATATCTATTAAATTAAATAATCAATCATTTGGAGTTTATTTTCATATTTACCAAATAGTACACATATTTTGTGACGACATTTGTATTAAATTTTATTATGAAAATAAATTCTGACTACACAAAACGCACTAATCGCTTGCCAAAGCACATACTCACAAGCTTAAACTAGCACCACTATGTAGGTACTTAATATGTTAGACATTAGAAATTTAATGCTAATGTAAATATAGAAGTTTGTTGTGAATTCCAACGAATACATGCTTTATGAAAAGTCGTAATGACGTAAATCAGTTTCACACCCAGATTAGCGAAATTTAACTAATATATTATTTGCCGCCAGTTACGTAGGTAGGTTTCCTATTTGTAAGTAAGTACTGCGATAGTTTATTAGTCATAGATACGAAAACCTTAATAGCTATAAATAGTAAAAGTTGCTTGACATTTGTTAATTTTTTGTCTTTTAGTTAAAAATAGAATCTGTAATATAGAATTTGAGGGTGGCTGGTTAGAAAATAATAATTTATTTAATCCCATAACTGCACACTGTAGGAAATCGTATTTAAATTTTAGTAAATCCTTATCCTATTCCTACAAACACCTCAATATGTCTGGTTTTTTGCAAGAAAGGTTTAACAATATAATACCTAAATATTTAGTACAGTAACGCTACACCGAATAACTGACTACATCCATACATAGAATTAACAGTTAGTAATCTTTACTTCAAATAAACAAAATTGGTGTCTTCTGGTGAATTAACGAATCGGCCATCAAATAATTTTACTACCAATAAGCTCAAAATTAACATCGAGTAGTAGTCGATAACGATTAACCTGAGACCACACGATTTTCATAATAGAACAAGATTTATACTTTGCGACTTATATTCACAGCTCGCAGCAGGTCTATGAAGAATATCGCCACCTAATAATTATTTTGGGAGTTTCAAGACTTTGTGTAATAATTGCATGACTTATGTTTTGATCTACAATGAGTGCTAGTGGTTTCATTCACGTATATTTGCAATGTGAATCAATTATTTATGTTTTTTTGCAAGGTTTTATGTTTGCCTCTTTGTATTAAGATATTCTTATCTTGCATCACACACGCCTGGTTGCAATGCTTTGCATTTGCCAACTATCCACAATTTGGTTTGATCTTTGGGTTCCTTTCAAGTCTTATATAAAGCAAAAGCAACATTCTCTCCAGATCTATTCGCTTGTTGCTTTTGCTTTTTTTTTAAAATTAAGTTAGAATAATCAATACCAATATGATTTTCTTACAACTAGCCATCGATTTCTTTAAATAGATAATTTTAGTAACTTTTTTATGTGTAAATAAAATAATTTTTGTATTTAAAATACTGAATGATTTTGTTTTACGTAACTTAGTAAATTCTTACTAATAGTAATAATTTAAATATTATATTAATTAATAAAAGATACAAACTCAAACTCTGGCAAATGTTGGCTTGTTTGGTCTCGCAGCTATTTTTATACCATGTTATAAAGGGAATGATTATGTTTAGGTATTGACTCCTTTAATCTGATGGGGCCGCAGCCTGACGAGATCAAGGAAGGCCAGTGGCTTGGAGTTTCAGTGCGAAGTCAGGGAGTGGGGAGAAAAGCTGTTGTTTGTGCTCACAGGTAAATTTAATTTATTTTTTAAACTTAGGTTCCAGTTCAGTAATTTATCTTTATATAGAATAATAACAAATAGAATATTTTATAATAATGTTTCACTAATCCCTGTATTTTACAGGTACATTCGTAAATCCGGGGAGTTACAATTTGGTCAAGGACTCTGTTACACGCTCAGCAACGACCTGCAGTTGATTGACATGTGGGAGCCGTGTCGAGGTCGATCCGTGCAAAGGTATAATTTACATTATTATCATTACTCGGACTATGTATTTTAGGACATTAAAAATGTTTTTTTTGGTTATTTTGTGATAATAATAAGGAGAGGATAAACCAAAAATACCTTTGTTTGTTAAAATAACAATTCCGTATATATTTCTTTAAATATATACGGAATATTACAATTTAGGTTAAGGTCACTACGATAACCACTTTCTATTTATTTCAAAACAACTGTAGCATAACATAAATAATAGTACCAAATTGATGAAAAATAAAATGAATGGCGTTTTTAAGTCCTAATTTATTTTATCCTGTTAGGAACAAAGCATCTACATATGTATATGACTAAATAAACCTAGAGTACTGATTTATATAAATTTATGTAATAATAAATTTCAGAGAACACGAAGAATTTGGATTCTGCCAAGTTGGTACAAGCAGTTCACTACTTGAAGATGATACATTAGTTTTGGGCAGTCCTGGACCATACACTTGGAGAGGAACTATATTCACACAGGATACTAATGATGATCTTTTAGAACGGGACCATGGTGTAAATATGGCCCCAGTTGAAGACGGTGCTAGCCCTGTTGAAAAATACAGTTATCTCGGTAGGTACCTTATTTGATAAGTGATTTGATAAATTAGTTAATTTTTTATTACAAGGCTGTCCTTATCTAATTAAAATTTAATTATAAAAACTATTCGACTAACGATCATAGACTTAACCATAAGTTGTGTGGCTATATTCAACTATATAAGAAACTAGCAGAACTCGCGGTTTCGCTCGCGCAAAAACTACAAATAAAATCTCTAAAAAGGTAAGTTTCATACAAACTTACATGCCCTACTTTACCCTCTAAGGGGTTGAATTTTGGAAAACGCTGCAATACGTAAGTCATTATTTTTGCCGTACTCAATTCATACGAAATTTCATGCAAATATTCCAAGGAATAAAAAGTTTCATACAAACTTTTATCCCCTATTTCACCCCCTTGGGGGTTGAATTTTGAAAAATCCTTCCTTAGTGGATGCTTACGTCATATGAGAAAAACGTGTGCGACATTTCAATTTTCTAGCCTTAAGGGTTTGTTCTGTACGTTGATACATCAGTCAATCACTTTTGCCTTTTATATATATATACATTAACATAAATAAAATACATATTATATGGGAACTAATGAGGACCCCCATTTCTGGATAAGTATTCGTTAGATATATCATACATAATGGGCTATTCAAATTCTTTCAGGTATGTCAGTAACGGGGGCAAGTTTTTTTGGAGCCGAACCCTCATATGCAGCAGGAGCTCCACGAGCTCACGGAACTGGTCAGGTCGTAATGTTCAGCAAACGGGTAATCGCTGATTGGACACGAGTGGATGTTAATATTCTTAATTTCACTCTCATTCTAAACGGAGAGCAATTTGGTTCAAGTTTCGGATATGAGGTCGCTTCAGCTGATGTTAATGGAGACGGGTAATTATTATATTTACTTTTATGTTAATTAAATACAGAATTCTAAACGATTTAAAATAAGTATTTTTTGTAAATGACTTTACATATGATCTTAACGTTAATTTGGTAAAGGTTTAAGACTTAATTTGATCCTCGTTAGTATGGTTACGATTTTTACTGTAGATGAGTTGTATAACATACTCTAGCTTGTTTACTCCATAGTGTCGTGACTCGTCCACTACTTATTTAACTCGCTTAAAACTAATTTACTCGGGACATTTGCACTAACTAATATTCCAACTACTGCACCATAGCTTAATTTACAAAAAGGATGTATTTACAATCCAATCTATTTTAATACTTTCTTAATACTTTCTTAAACTTATTTTACTTTCTTTTCTATTTAAAAATGCCAGTCAATTTTAAAAGATATTATTAATATTAACTATTTAAAAAGTTTTAAGTTATTTTTCATCTCTTTCAGATTACCAGACCTCTTAGTAGGAGCACCATTTTATTTTTCCCGTGACGCTGGTGGTGCTGTTTACTTGTACCTTAATAAGAAACGTAGTTTACCTCAAGAATACAACGTAAAGCTGACTGGAAAACCAGAATCCCAATTCGGTATCTCTATAGCAAATACCGGAGATTTAAATAAAGACGGATGCGAAGATGTCGCCATTGGAAGCCCCTATGAGGGCAACGGAGTAGTTTACATTCATATGGGAGACAGAACTAATGGCTTGAAAAGTAAACCAGATCAAATTATAAACGCAGAATCCTTGCCAAATGTAATGCAAACATTTGGATATTCTCTGTCTGGTGGAATAGATCTCGATAATAATGGTTATCCAGATTTACTAGTTGGTGCTTATGAAAATGTAAGCTTTTTGTAATATTAAATTTCCTTTTAATGTAACTTTACATATATCATAGTTTTTTATAGTAAAAACTACTTGTAACTTTTTTCAGAGTAGCGTAGCACTTATACGAACAAAACCAATTATCGATATTAAAACATCAATCCGACCATCGAATACGATTATCAACATCGACCCTACAATTCAAGGCTGCACAAAGGATCCAAATTCAAATTACACGTGCTTCCATTTCCAAGCGTGTTGTATTATTAAATCTCTTGTAAGATCAGCTCAAAGTAACAGTCATGAATTAAATTACTTCATTGAAGCTGAAACTTTTCCCGGAGGAAGGAAATACTCCAGAGTGTTCTTTGGTTCCGAAAAGTCCAATATTGTTAATAAAACTATACATTTGGATAAAGATGTTGAAGATTGCAGAGAGCACATTGTTTATTTGAAGAACAATACTAGGGATATACAAACACCTATCAAAGTAAGAATTGAATAAATTTAACAATTACTAGTGTTCTCTCACTCGGTCGAAATATGACCATAATCCTTATATAAAAAAGTTTCATTTTTTTTATTGATAACACAAAAGCTCAACAATAGCCACTAAAAAAAGGAAATCGATTGCCAAACAGAGGAGAAAATGGTACCTACCTAAATTTTTTGTCTTTGCATACTCTACTCTATAAAAAAGACTTTTCTTGTATTTTGTACTTACTACTATAAATAACTATATTATAATATAACTATAATATAATATGAAAGCATACCAATACTATTGAGCTTATTTGTCACAAATAATAAAAGATCAACTCTATATCGTTTTATATTCAATTAGTATATAGTTCATGTAGGTATCCTTCGCTTCGCTCTGGACCCTAGGTCCCTAGGTACATTTTAAAGGTTAGTATGGAGTAGATGGTACATGTATTGTACATAATATTTTTTTTTCAAAACTTAAACTTGCATAATAGGATATGATGATAGGTCCACCACTAACGCCATCTATTGAAAGTAATCCGAAGTAGTGATTCGCATACAAAATAAACAGCTCTGAATTTTCGATTTTCCAGCTGCACTTACGGTTATCCAAAAAAAATTTTAATAGTTAAACTACCCTTGACACACGCCCAACAAAACAAAAAAAAAAGTAAAAGAGAAATATTATATGAGACTAACGAACGGAAATAATTTATAATTATATAAATCGATCATCAATTTATTATTGAAATTATTCTTTAATATTTATCTACAAAAAGTAGTAGTGTTTCACAAACTGCCGTAGTTGTTAATTATTTTATAATTTTGTTCATCTCTTTTTTCAGTTTCAAGTGACATATAAAATAGTCCAAGTGCAGCCTCAATACTCAACAGAAGGTGATTTACCCAGAATCGACGATTATCCTGTTCTAAATGCCACTGCGAGAACATCGTTTAGTGCTAACTTCCTAAATGACTGCGGTTTGGACGGCGTATGTGTTAGTGACCTGGTAGTTAAGCCAGTTTTACAGTTACCAAAAAGTAAGTGCGCTTTATTTTATAATAAATAAATAAACTGTTTCATTAAGATTACTTCATAATTAATAAAAAAGTTAAATATTCTGTCGAAATATGTTTATCATAGTGAAGTTAAAAAACAATGTTAAATAGTTGCAAAAATTAATGTTTTTTTCATACTAATTTTCACTATTTACAGCGGAAGATGGGGAAGCATACACATTGACTTTGGGCCAAGAGGAAGAAATAAAGCTTTCTATAACCGTTGATAACTATGGTGAATCTGCCTATGAAGCTCAGCTGTTCGTACAACACCACGCTAGTCTACATTATATTGCGGCTAATATTACCGTAAGTGCCATCTACATATCTAGTAGATAGTTTTTAGTTTCGTGTAGTGAAGTAAAAACATACAGTCGAATTGAGAACCTCCTCCTTTTTGAAGTCGGTTGATTAAATATGTTAATTAGTAAAGATGAATTATAATTTAATATACATTAAATACAAAATACTAGTAGGAAAGTTAGGGATTAATTTATTTTATAAGATATTACAAAATGTTAAAGAAGCTATTTAATTTATATTTTACTAGCAGAACCCGCGGCCTTGCTCGCGCTAAACCTATAAAAAACTCTAAAAAGGTAGGTTTTCTACAAACTTTCATCCCCTATGTTTCCCCCCTTATGCGATGAGTTTCGAAAACTGCTAAAACACGTATTTATTTAATTGTATTGAAGAGCAGTTTCAAGTAATTCTGATCATAAATATTTTTTGGATTACATTACAACGTCTTTTCTCGTGGGAATGAGATAATCTCCCGTGGTAATAGTAGCCTATATCATTCTCCAGCCCTCCAACTATCTCCATACAAAAAATCACGCTAATCCGTCATTCTGTTTTGACGTGAAAGAAAGACAAACAAACAAACAAACAAACACACTTTCACATTTATAATATTAGTATGGATTATGAATAAATATTTTAACTATTTACTAGAAAAAAGCATAGTAGATAATTAAAAAAAACACAACATCATATTTTAAATATATATATATATATATATATATATATATATATATATAAGTAAGATGAAACAATTAAATATTTTGTAGGTATAATATTTTTTTATTATAATTTACAGGGCAAGCATATGATCTGCACAAGTGTAAATAAAACGACAGTGTCTTGTTTACTTGAGAATCCTTACAAAAGACAACCTGAAGGCAGTCCAGCTATCACCATGAGATTTGATGCCAGAGCATTAGAAGACAACGAACCTTCTGTAGTGTTTACTGCCTGGGCCAATTCTACTTCTAAAGAGTTGAAACCAAAGAAGCCTGTGGAAGTAAAGGCATTAGTGATCAAGAACGCGGAACTGTTAATTAAAGGGTACGAATTTCTACTAATTAGACAAAAAATTATTTTGTTAATATTTATTTTTTTGTTTTGTTGTTTGTATAGCAATATTGTACAATTAAATATCAAATTATAGTATTGTAGCATAATAGGTGTGCCGAATTTGCTCGGTCACTCATATAAAATTCTATAAAACACTGTGGAGTGTAAGAAGTGTCATATAGAGTAGTTATAAAAGAGCTGAAATACGTGGTTTGGGCCCAACTGGCACTCTTAGAAGCCACGAAATTAAAGAATTGAATTGAATGGAATTGAATACGTGGTCAACTGTACCGATAGGCATTAATTACCATTTTTATAGTAAACTTCGTTACAGTTCTCGCAATATCACTCTGTTAAAGATTCATAAAATCGTTTTGAGCGGATATCAATGTAAATTTAAGAAAACGTTATTAATTTGAGTCATAATTGCACCTAATTTCGTGGTCTGGGTATTCGTAAATAAGTCAGTCAGGTCATAAATAAATAGCAAACATTACTTACTGTAATCCAAACTTTTTTAAGAACTCTGTAAATTAAATAAAATGACTAAGGAATTTATTAAGGCCAAGGCCAATAATGGCAATTAGTTTAATAGGCCAACAAGAACAAAAAAGATATATGTGATATGAACTTTATTACCTATTATATTTAATTGAAATATAATTTTATAAAAGATATTAATCATTGTGTTGTAGAGCTGCTCGGCCAGAACAGGTGTTCTATGGAGGTGAAGTGAAGGGAGAATCCGCAATGACTCACTTTGATGATATCGGCACTAGAGTAATACATACATATCAGGTATGTCCAAGAACTTTTGTACCAATTATTGTACAGATTATAGGTTAATTACTTAAATTGTTATTATCGTGTATATCATTCAAAGTTTTTGTTGTGCTGTTTGTGTTGGAATTACTGTTTGAATAAATAAATAAAAAAATTAATATAAATGGATTAAACATTAATATGTTTATTTATTATGATGTTTACAGACGATTTAAAAAAATAGAAAAAATATTTATCCTTTTACATAAAATACTTTCTTAGATTTACGCGAATATTTGACATTAACCTTTTACATATTTCTAAAGTTACATTATCTCATATAATTCATACTTTAAATGTTTTAGGTATTTAACGAAGGGCCATGGAAGATTTCATCAGTACAAGTTATTATATCTTGGCCTTATCAAGTAGCGTCTGAAAATCCTCAAGGAAAGTGGTTATTATATCCTGAAGATGTTCCTATTGTTGATGGAGAAGCAGGTAATACATATTTGTCCAGATGTAAATTAACAAATGATACAGTGATATTCCTATTAAAAGACATAAAAGCTTTTTAGATATAAATTGTTAAAAATATATACTTTTGGGAGTGTTATACTAATATAAGATAATTACTGTCTCAGATCAAAGCAATGGACAATGCTTCATTAAAGAAAATCAAATAAACCCACTGAAACTGACACCTCGTCCTGGCGCCGACGAGCCTTCTCTCGAAAATCTCGAAATAGATCCTTTCCTTAGTACTGGTAAACTTAGTGTTAGTTCAAGCGAGAAGGAACATAATTCAACGAAAATTACCAACCACATAGTTGGATATAAAAGCGGTGTTGAGAACAAAATAAGACGAAAACGAGATAGCGATATTGTGAAAGCTGAAGCCTATACTGATAAGGATGGCCAAAGAAAACACGTTGTGAATATGGTGAGCTACTATTGTACCATTTTTAACTTAATATATTGGTTTTTATTTGTTTTCGGCATTAGATATCCTAGTGAATTATATTTTTTATTTATGAAAATACACACTGCAATTATCTTCATTTATGAAATATTTGATGTCAAATAATTAGGAAGATTTTATATTTCATTATCATTTAAATTTTATTAATATTTACGAATTTTTACCAACAGAACTGTCTAAAGAAAACAGCAAAATGTATTCAGTTCCAATGTGTGATCTACCGCTTGGGGAGGATGCAAGCTACTACCATTACTGTGAAAGCGCGTCTTTGGAACTCGACTCTCGTGGAGGACTACCCGCGAGTTAGTCACGTCAACATTGCCTCAACCGCATACATACATATCCCCGAACATTATAATATTCATCAGAGTAAGCATCACGACGATACTGCCACGGTGAGTAGTGACAATCATTTTAATTTACAATATTGATATCTATCTACCTATTATTATATACCTATCTATCCTGTTGTTCCTGAAGAGAGATAGGAGATACTTTTGTAGTAAAGCAATTGCGACTTTTGATTGCGGAAAAATATTCCACATGCCTTGTTAATCATCGAAACCAGGGCAACGTCCAGTTGATACTTTCTAATGTTTAATTTATGTACAATTCTTAGTTTTAATCACTGGTGAATAAGCGGAAAAGCTTATAAAAAAAATACTATAATATTTCTTCTTTTCAGGTGGAGACAGTCGCTTATCCTGATTTGAAGATCAGTGAACCTTCAGAAGTGCCATTATGGGTTATTATACTGTCAGTGATACTTGGACTATTAGTTCTCGTTATACTAATATTTGTACTGTGGAAGCTTGGTTTCTTTAAGAGAAGTAGACCCGACCCAACTTTGTCTGGAAACCTCGAAAAAAATCATGAATCCAGTCCCTTTATAGGACGTGATAGAAATAGTATGCGATGAAAACTATTTAGAAATTAACCAGTGTACATAAAATTAAAAGTCTTTGTTACTTTAGGAACGAACTAGTTTAAAATATCATTTGACTGTGATGTCTTCGTAGAGGAAATATTGTCTAAGCACGTGATAGCGACGTTGTTGTTGTTTACGAGTCCTTGAAGGTTTTAATATAATTGTTTTTATTTGCATTTCTGTAGTAAGTATTATTATAAAGATTTATGATTGTTTTATATATTCGCTGAATATGTGCTATTGTGTAAATATGTACTTGCCCTTTATTTATGTTTAGACTAGGATTCCATTACGACTAGATTTTTTACTAGTCAGTTAAGACTAAGTAAGTAGGATCGTAGATTGATTGGTAGTGTTTATAAAAAGCAATGGTAGTTCTAATGTTTCTACTTAAAAATATTACTTAATAAACAATGTTTAAATTTACATAACTGTACTTAAATAAACATATACTTGATTAAGCTTTTTGGTAAAAAAGTTAAAGTACTGTGGATTTTTGTTTTAAATATGCGGGTACTTATGCATGGGAAGAAAATGAAGTTTTACTTCTATACAATATAAATCGTATGATTGTTGTTGTCTTAAATTTGTACATAGTAATGTAAGTAGTATTTATAGTAGATTTTTTACTAAAATTTGTATAAAAAAATATTTCATACATCGAAAAATATACATCCTTCACTAAATTGTACGGATACTGCCAAATTTATGTTATTTATTTCTTACTTAATATATATTGTAATAAATTTGACCACCTATTATATTACACTGGTTGTGATTATTTCCGTAACAATTTTATGAAACATCTTCCTACTTAGTATACAATATTTAAAAATAAATAAATGGTGCCATTTTTATAAATTTTCATTTATATATTTACCTGAATTTACTTTTAATTTATTTTGTAACATTATCCTCGATAGTGTTAAGAAAAATAAAATCATTTTTAAACACTTCTAAATCTTTATTTTACTATATTTTCTAACTAACTGCATTTACACGTAAATGGGTTTATTAGTATTTACTTTTAATTGTCAATGCTAAAAGAATAATGAATTATTGATCATAATATTATATTTACATCAATCAATATCGTATTATAATTTAAATTAACATCGGATTCAATTGTCCATTTGTCATTATTATATCTTAAAGAAACACAAATTTTTCCCACGTCTCGGGATGGTGCAATCTTCATAATATGTGCCCTTGGCCAACACCAAAATCTATTCAGCAATTAAGGCATGAAAAGGAAACAAAAAAAAAATAGTGACTTTAAAATATATAATTTGAATATTTTGGAATGAATCGCGTTGTTAAAACGGTTTACATTTTTTTATAGTTTTAAAAATAAAAATATTTAGTAAATATTATTTTTAATATATTATTATATCAAAATACTTGGTGTTAATAGTCATTCTCCTTAATACTAATATAGAACACAATCGAATAAAGACTAGCGAATAAGTCTATCTGCACTTGAGGAGGTCCCTAATAAAACCCATGGATTTCTTTATTTCTAGCTGAAGTTTTCTGAAACAATAAATTATTTTATTTTAATATACATAGAAAGAGCTCTTGAAATATTGATTATTCTGTATCTTTGGAAAATCTCGTAATATCTAGTTTATTGAATTTCTGTGTCAGACATACACATATCTTTCTATAGAAGCTGGGCAACTTTAAGTGAGCCTTTTATTGCACCGGTATTCAATAAGAAATTCTTATTTAAAGCGCCGGTCATGTCATCATAGACAACCGAGCGAAGCTTTAGAAGCAGTTTGTAATTAATTAATAATTAAAAAATAATAATCATGAAAAATAAGATTTAAATCTAAATTATCTCTTATTTCAAAAATTGTCCTTAGAATATAAATAGAGATAAGAGATAAGAGAATTCTAAATTGAAAATTGCACTGTTAACTGTGCAATTAATATCAAGAAGTTTTAATAAATATTTATGAAGTTAAATCATTAAGTCATATTATCAATAAAATTAGACTTTATTAATGCCCCTCAATTTAATATTATTCACTTGACGACCGCGGACACGTCGGCGTTACAGTTAACAATAGATTTCTTAGAAATTTAATTAGTTTCTTAGAAATTTATCAGGAGGTGTTAATAATAACTCAATACAGAGTGAATAGAGCATAGTAAAATACGAAATGAACTTACATCTTTTTTAATCGTCGACCAACAAAACGTGCAAAGAGATGTACTTTTGTAGTCAGTGTCATTTCTTTGTAAGCAAGGTCGTTCCAAATCTCCTAAAACAAAATACATAGAATGAATGTATAATTTGTATTCAATTGTAGGTAGCACAACGCACAGCACTCATTATTATTCATTCCTCAAAGCACTGCACTAGATGCATTTATACCTGAGGGTTTTAGTTTAGAAGATTTATCTGTAAAAATAATAAGAACATATTTGTCTCATGTGGGATTGAACTCGTAATATTCTGCATAAAAACAAAGTACTATAATAGATACATTTAATCTAAGGTTAGTTAACGTTACAAAATAATATTTATACTATTTATTATACTGAACAAATTATATTAATATTTCAATCGGATAATAATCAATTAATTACTGTTGCACAACATAGCATTCAAACTTCAAAGTATATAAGAGTATAAGAAACCATGTACCACTCTGGTCTCGGATATGACATCAGCTTTCTGACTAATTGCCTGTTGGGTAAGTTAACTTTTGTTCTAAGAATTTGCTTCTAATAATAAAATTATAGTTTTTAACTGATTTGACTGTCAATAACTGAGGAGTAAGAATGATTGAATGTATTATGATACTATGAATAATTATTATATTTGGCGTCCAGTTGTTGTTATTTTCTTTTAAAAATGTTAAACAAAGCGCTTCTAATTATTTCGGTGTCTCTTGTAAGAATAAGCCTACAGGAATCCAAGAGTTCCTCAATGTGTTTTACGAGTTGACACTACACATAAGACAGTACCTACCCAGTAGTCTCCTATGTTACAGTTTGGACAGCCTTAATAAGTAAATATCAAAGGTATGAATATGTTTATAAACAAATCTAATGGCCGTAATAAATTGTGATTAATATTTTTTAAATGGAAATATTTTATACATTTTTAATATACTCAGGATTTAAAACTAATGAATTAAACATCTAAAATGTAAAATATTTCAGGTTAGACACTTTTAGACTTTATACATAAGTTTTAATATGATCCACACTAATATTATAAGAGGTAAAATTTGTATGTAGGGGGTTAGTAGCCTTAGAAACTGCTGAGGTGATTTTTAAACTTTTACTAATAGAAAACTATGAACATTAAACGGTAAATATGACGGTACTTATATAAGCTATTTTTATTCTGATAAAAATATTTTTCTTGTTTGAAATCATAACTTTATTTGAAATCGGAAAAAAGCGTCGAGTTACTTCATCGGGGTGCTCTGCTTAAAGGGTTTGAAATAAAGGAATAAACAAAATGTATGCCACATACACCTAGGGACGGGTCATGTTATGTTTTTACCAAAGTAGTAAGGTTATAAACATGGCGTGTAATTGATACGTTAAATAATGAGAGATAGAGAGAGAGATAGAGAGAGAGATAGAGAGAGAGAGAGAGAGAGATAGAGAGAGAGAGAGAGTAATAAATACGAGAATTTAGAAGGCTTTACCACAGATGATATAGTACTATACTATTCTACTAACCTGTATAAAGTTGGTTGTCCAGATGTGTAATATAACTTCCAGCGAGACGCAAAATTTCTATCTTGCTAAGCTTGCGGTCAGGCGGTTCAGTAGGAATTAGAAGCCGCAACGCATTAAACGCCATATTCACGCTGCTTAGAAATTTAAAGGGTATTTTGATAACATCTCTATTTAACTTTCAAAAAAATAACGCTCTTATTATTTGTACACTATATAGTATATATGCATAATACAAACGATACTAAATTATGAAAATAATTACGTAGAAACTTTACTACACGATTGACTATTTTTTTCAATTTGTTATAAAATGAAATTAAATATAATTAAATATTTTGGGACATTAACACACAACACCATCTAGTTCAGTGATGGGCAAAGTATGGCCTGCGGGCCATCTCCGGTCCGCGAAAGTATTTAATCCGGCCCGCCGAGGATCCATCTTAGGGCCAATTGTTCAATCATCGAATAACTGAACAAATAACCAACTAGCGAATTAACTTACTGATAAAAGGACAAATAAAATTGTTGCATTCTTAAATGGCCAGATGGCAAGCGAATAGTTAGTTATCTGTGGATTTTAGTTGCCAACTTCACTGTAATATTGTGGAAGCGTGAAACACGCATACGGTGTAATGAATGTTAGAAGAGGATAGCAAATGCTTTGACATTCGCTGGTTTGACGTTTAATGTCAGTTAATTTAACTGTCAGTGAGTTTAACTGCCAGTTTCTTTAACTATCATTAAGTTTAACTATCAGTTAGGTTGACTGTCAGATTGATTAACGGCTAGTAAGTTTAACTGTCAGTCAGATTAACTATCAGTAAGTTTAACTGTCAGTTTGTATAACTATCAGTAAGTTTAACTGTCAGTTAGATTAACAGTAAGTTAGATTAACGGCTAGCTAGTTTAACTGTCAGTTATTCTAACTAGCAGTAAGTTTAACTGTCAGTTTGAATGACTGTCAGTAAGGTTAACTGTCAGTTAGATTAACTGTCAGTAAGGTTAACTGTCCGTTAGATTAACTGTCAGTTAATTTAACTGTCGGTTATTTTAACTGTAAGTTAGTATAACCTCTAGTTAGTTTAACTATCAGTAAGTTTAACTGTCAGTTTGATTTACTATCAGTAAGGTTACACACAAGAGTGTAATGCTGTAATGTTTTTATAATATTATGATTAAAAGCTTTAACACAAAATGCATTTTTTCTTTAATTCTAGTCCTCCTCTAGAATTTCTTAAGCTTTGTGGCCCCCCATTAGAAAGTTTGCCCACCACTGATCTAGTTCCATGGTAAGCAACGAGGCCTGTGTTATGGATACCAGATAGATGATACACTACATATATTCATACAACTTTAAATACATACATATTATAAATATAAACACCCATGACTGGAGTACAAAAATTCGTGCTCATCACACAATTGAATGCCTCCAACGAGACTCGAACCCGCGACGGCTGGCACAGCAAGTAGGGTCACTACTAACTGAGCCAATGGTGTAGTCAAATTTGACTTGCTGAGTTCGCACTTCTTAATTAAAGCAGGCTTAACTTCTCCACGCTCAATACAAATACGCATGTCGTGTGAGAATTGAACTCGTAACGTTTTATTATGAAATATTATGGTGCCAGGACATACGATTTATTCAGTATTAACATACTAGGTGACCGTCAAAAAACCCTAAAGAAAGCGCCGGAAGTTGCCTAGAGTAATAGCTATTAGTTTAACTTGAACTTTGCTAAATTTTTTACATGTTAATCTTATTATATCAATTTAAATACAACTAACTTTTTTCATATATTATACAATACAGATGCAACGTTTATAAGTTCTCAATGATATATGATTTTGAAAAGAGTATTTCTATTTCTTGTTTTAGTAACAACTATAAGGGTATTTGTTTAATAATATTTGATTTTTTTTATTGAATTAATATCAAAGACATATTAATAGGAAAGTTAATACTTGTATTTTAAAACACAATTTCTGAAGTTTAGAATATGTATAATAATAATAGAAAGAAATCTGCTAATTGTTTTGGACTCAGGTCAAACAGTTAGCTATGTATAATGTTTTTACCTAATTAAATATTAAAGTTTAATACTAACTTTTGCGTTCTATCCCTTTCTCTTGCATTAGCTTGACATCGTTGTTTCGCTGTGGGTATAGTATCGTTATTGTTTTGCATTGGTTTAACCGAATATAAATTTTCCCAATTTTCCTCACCAAACTGATAACTTGTGTAAGTATTCATATTTAAAAAAGCTCAAGTAGTAAGACTGAGTGTTTAAGTTAAATATTTAACTGATCGCGGTACTTATAGTTCGGATGCAGGATGTAGACTAATCATAACGTTTGGTGGTCGTAATATGTCCCGACTCCCGATGATCGTAAAGGAGTCATTTAGGAAGAACAGCGCGCGCCACTGACGCGCCTCTTAACTGATAATTGTATAAACAGATGTCCTATCACGAAACAGGTCCGAATTTTAAATATTTTTTAATATTTATTGCTAATTAGCATAACGCTGAATAATTTTCATATTTTAAAGTACTAAGAGTTATTTTGTGTGATATGAATAAGTTAGTATAAGGCTATTTTTATATATTATAGGTAAAGTAGGTATGTATGTATTCAGCTCTTTTTAACGTCCCACTGCTGGGCATGGTATGGTGCAAGTGGTAAACATGTTAGAAATGATTCGTACATCAGAGATGCTCTCGCATTATCGGGATTTAATCCGCTTCACTCGGTTTCCAAACGAGCGCGTTACCACTGGGCTACCACTGTCTATAGGTCTGTCTATAGGTAGGTAGGCACGCATTTTAATTGACAATTTTACTATATTTTGTAAAGGTAAACAGTGTAATATATTATAAAATGTTATTTCTGTGACGCAAATGAAGTTGTATTCAAATCCGTGCCTGTTATGGCGAATGGTAGAGTTGTCAACAAGGATTTAAAACACCAATGCCCCTCTTAAGACACTGTTTGTTTAACCTAACTGTTGCAATAAATATTTTTAACGTCTTCGATGATTGCCTTAACTACGAATCCAAAAAAAAGACATTTCAATTGATATTTATTTATATATTAAGTAAATAAGGGCAACTAGAGCCATATAATACTATTTAGATATTATAGCAAACATTCTGATATGAAAACTGTTATTGGATGTTATTACTTATATAAGGTTGTTTTAGATCGTTGTATTTATTAAATTGTTAGTACTAATGATTTTTTAAAATGAATTTAGTATCGGAAATAAAAATAAATTAAACTTGACAGGCAGGCAACAATTATTCCGTAAAGTTCTCATTGATATTCCCGTCTCAAGGGAATTAGAATAGGGTTGCGTGGGAAAGCGTTAATTGGTTAAATTATATGACCGACCAACAAAGTCATTTGTATTCATTTGGAGCGTTATAAGTTGTAACGTTTGTAGATCATTCTTAAAATTTAAACTTTCGTATGGTGTACTTTTTTTATTTTATTTACATACTCCCTTTTAGACCTATGGTACTTACTGCATTAACAATTTTTGTGTGACACGTAACTTAAAAATAAATAAATTACAACCAAGAACGATAGATAATATCTGGGGGCACGGTAGTGTTACCATGCCCCCAGATATTATTATTAATATTACCGCCAAATCGAGCAAAAAAGACACAGCCGTACCATCCTTTTCTCGAAGCTACTCAGGACATTTTCGACTCCCCTATAACTTCGTCCTGGATAAAGTTAAAAGCCTGAATTTTCAGTAACTAAGAGAACATAATATAACTAGGTATATTCTCAAATTACATTAAATTTGAGGCTGCAGCTTAAAAACAATTGAAGGTCAAGTTTCTTTAATTTTATCATTGACACAATTATTGTTTAGCCTATAAAGCAAGGAAAATCTAAAACATACAGCATTTCCAGTCCCATTTTCTAGATATACAAATAGTATAAGTAACTTTGTAATACTATGAAAATGATATGCTATTTATGCGATTATAAAGTTACTTTTGCAGTTCATATAATTTTTTGTCACTTAAACTACCCAAATAGATAGGTAGGTGAATAGTGGCTATATAGTAGCGTGACGAAGGCAAGCGATGTGATTGAGATCTTATATAGCGTTATTATAGCAGGCTAAGTTTGTTATTTGAATTTCATAAATAGTTTGTAAATATAATAATAAATATATATAGTAAATAATTATTTATTATCTGCGCTACATATATTCACATAGGTAGGGACCAGGTTCCTAATGTACCTACCTAATGGAACATGGAATATAAAGATTACTTGTAGAATGGCCTATGGAATAACTCCGTAGCTGACGCACAAGAAACAGTACCAGAAAAGAAAAAACGGAGAACTATTTACAAAAAGAAATGAGAGCCTATCAAAAAGATAACATGTAAAAAACTTGGCTATCGCACACTGCAATAGAATCCACAAATAACAAAAATTACCTAGTAATAGCATTTTAAGCGAATTATTTATGTTTGTGTATGCATAAATTTGACCCACTAGCGCTATGTTCAAGAACTATTTAAAATCACACAACTTTTTGCGGTAAAAGAATTGCATTGCGAGAATTGCATTTTCTTACATGTTATGTCTTTGATGGGCTTATATTTTTTTAATAAGGTCCATTATAAAAAAATACCCTATCCTTGGTACAGTAACCGCTTAACACGTCTACATCGGACCAACTTTAGATAATTCCCTATTGATAACTCAGATAACTGATGTGTATCTTTAAAAAAACTGTTATGTAATTTCTACTTATAGGGCTGAATCTTCACGCAAGCCTTCCAAATGACAATGCCGTTTTTTGAGCCTTTGAACTCTAAATTAAAACGTTTTATAATAATAATTACTTTAAGAATATAATTAGTTTACAAAGAAATAGAGGATGCACTTGCGTGTGCGCAAACTCAGGCCCCGTATATCTATAGTAGGTACGTTTCTCGAATGAAGAATAGTCGCCGTGGCCGAAATCAAGCCAAGAGGCATAAATTAAATAGATATGCGAGTACTTCTAGTAACGGCTGAACAGGAGTTTTTTTAATTAATTTAACACAATGTTCTGTGGGGTCTTCTACGTGGTGAATTACTAACTGTCGCGCATGTAGATGCGATGTAATTTCTAGCAATTGCCAAACTGACCTGCTTTTAAAAATATTTATGCATTTTATTAATTGAACTTTCGTTGGTTTTTAATACTATTTGACATCAAGCTAGCTCCTTATTACGCGCGTTACTAGAGTTCGCCGAGTGGTCGAACTTCGACCATGATTATTATTGATTTTTTTTATTTATAAAACTAAAGCTCGTCAATAGCTAAACTACACATAATGCTCAATGACCACAGACTTTAACAATAAACAAAAGAGTAGGTAGGTATATATGCGTGTGTGTGTGTCAAATACATTGTAGTGTGTGTAATGTTTTTATTGATTTAATATATTTTTATGCAAAATTTAAAAAAATTGCATTCTTCACTCCTTCTTTATACAAACTATAAGGGTAGGAAATTTCATACTCCTCCGTCCGCGCAGTTTTCGTAAAAAGGGGTACAAAGTTTTTGCTTGCACACTATTACGCCAGTACAAAAAATAAAATAAAGAAATAAAACCAACTTCAAAACACGAATATTAGGTACAAAAAAACAAATAAGGTATGTTTTAAAGGCACGACCTCAAGTTTTACCAGCTTATTTTTACTATGCTAACTGCAATTTCTATTGTAACAAGATCCTTTTTTACCGGTAATTCTATGGGTACCTACTATGGACCTAGCGTGTTAGTAACTCCTAGGATCCACTAAACAAAAGAATTTAATTGAATTGAAAGATACTAATATTATAACTGAATTTATAGTAGGTAACGATGGATTTGAAATTACGAATTAATAGAGCGATTACAATAACCAATTACTAACTAATAAAACAGGCATAATGTGACATTCAATTCGGAGTCTGAGGCTTTAAAAGCTATAATTTTATAGCAATACTTATTCATTACATTTAATTATACTAAAAAATCTAATATGTAAATGAATTATAAAAAAGTTGTAGAAGTGTTGAATTAAATAAAAATAAAAATCCAGCTAAGATCTGGTGCTAAAACTTCAGGATGCGGTCTGATGATGATCATGTAATTGTATTGAGGATATATGGGTGTTTGTTGATTTTGCGGCTACGTCACGTCCCCTCCACGGCACCGACGCGAGCGCACCACGGCCGAGACTTTCTCCTCGCGACACCTCCGATGGAGAAACGCTTGTACGGAGTCTCACATCAGCCGCGAGCCAGTCGACCGCCTTCGACGCCGCGTACGAACTACTTCCGCGTTCTACCGCTTTCGCTCCGTAAACAATTTGTGATCGATCCGTGTTTCCAAACATAGTTTACCCGAAATTCTGAAATTGGAAAAATTGCATTTTCAGGAATTATGTTTAATTGAAGCTATAGGTAAGTCCATGCCTTTCTACTAACAATGTCCAATATTAGACGATGACATTCGGTGATAAGGTGGGCGAAGTGCCTCGTGGTGAATGCAAGGACGCAAGCCACTGGCTACATCTTGAACTCAGCACGCGAATGAGCCCACCACGTTTTATTATCGGATTTACTATTTACCCACTTTGTACATGTTGCATCCTCTGCATTGTTATATTGCGTAAGCATGCCCATTTATGTACCTTGAAATGAATTACTAAGAAGGATATTTACAATTCAGATAGACTTCTAAGTTATTTTAATCTACGCATACGTCTCGTTACTATGGTATCAAGAAAGTGTTAAAGCTAATAAAATCAAAAAATATTTGTTTTTACATAATTTTTTTATATGAATTAATTGGCTAAAAATAAAACTAATAACTGCTACTGAGTCTGCGGAGCTTTTTATAAATTACTATCTCTGGTGGTAAAACAATCGAAAGTAGATACCTACTAATTTAAAAAAAAAACAAATCAAAATGACACAAACACATCTTATTCATTCATTATATTAGAAGCATATATGAATTAGATAGTTTTTAAAGCTTTATAATTATAAATAAACCTAATTAATAGTGAACCAACTGCATCTGACATTTAAAACATCAGCTGACTTAATCCGTATTCTATCAGGAAACACTTAAAAAGATAATCTACTTAGTGCACTTCTAAAAGATTGTGCGATGTTTATTTGACCTTTATTTAATTCAATGTAAGTTAAAGGGTAGCAGTAACAATGGAATAAAAATTGATAAAGATTTCAAAATGTATTTACATATAGCCTATTAAGTAGTCAGTTATTAATATAAATGTGAACTAGTTAACAACCTAATTTATTTAATTGCATCAATTATTAACATCTATTACATGCTGTTATCTAATATTATATTAAATCTAAATTTTCTTGTCAATATGTCACGCCCTAAAGCAAAAAGCGATGCATTTGCAACGTACAGAAGGTCATTGAAAGTGTTACACATATGTTTAATTTTAAATAAAAGATTGTTTCAAATAATCATTACATAATTAATGTTTAATATGAGAGATCAATGGTTCCCAAAGTATTTGATATAATAAAAAAAATAATTAAATACAGGATAACCCTAATACTCTTCACCAACACGAAGTTGCATGGAAAATGAGTGACTCACCCAGGATTTACTAACATCCTGCCAATGACCTATTACAATACCATAATGCTGAGTAAAGCAATTTAAAGCTAACTTTACACGTAGATACAAAGTATATTATGCTTTTATTGATTATACAAAACGTTATATTTTAGATATAGTTGAAATGTTCCCATACTTTTACTGAATGGAGTGTTCAATAACAGATACTTTTACGTCTCTGTTATAATATGCGTTATTATCAAAATTTTGTATGTATTGTTTTTTATTAAAGCATAATTTATGAAGAGTACAGAATTTGAATCATAAAAATAAATATTCTTAATCAATGCCAACAGTTTAACATATTTAGTGTTGTATTGCACTCGTATTGCACGTCCCACGCTTAGCAGCACCGTTACACTAGTGTGTCGCTATATGATGTTAGATTTGCGAATGTTTTTCTTCCAACGTCATGTTGATCGTGCTTATGTAAATTGTGACTGGATACAAATTTAAGTAGCCTTCGTAACTTAGAGAAGTAAACAAATATTACAGAAAGTTAGTGCTACTTGCACCAAAATTATAAGTTCGATTGAAATGACAAATAATATGATTAATATTTAATATGTACGTCAAAGTACCTATTATTTGACGTTTGCTAAACATATTTATAACATTTAAATTAAAATAATATTTTGAAAAAAAAAACAAAAGCAATGGTAATTCGTACACGAATTACAAAAATGTGGCATTTAAGGTATATTGTTTTTATATCCGGTTTAATTTTCCGCTCATGAATCATATATTTTTTAATTTATTCTTGTCAAAAGTTTAGGCGTAATATCTAATACTTACACGCTCTTTAGATTGACCCGATGCTTGTTTTATTAACATAACATGATTTGAATGTTGCCATGTCACTTTCCATCTAATTGAAAGTTACATATTAAAAAGATTTTATCAGTTAAGACAAGACGAAGCTCCATAAAGCTTTTTTTATTTTTTGTTCATGAATGAACTAAATTTCAAAAACGCTTTTATGATTTATAGCTTTAGTGTCTATGTACAATTAATATTTTAAATATACATATTGTTTTAACTTTTATCATTCAACTCGCATGGCGAGTCAGCGAGGGCGAGTCGCTAATATTTAAATAAATGACACATTATAAGGTACTAAGTATTAATCTACATATTCTAAATTATAATTAATGCTAAATATGAATTTGAATTTAGCGAGCTTTTTTATAGAAGTAATTCTGTTATGTTATATATTACATTTTTATGATATTTAATTAGTATATACTAGATCACACGTATAATTGACCAACATCAAGTTTCCAAAACAGTGGATCTGTCACAGATCCATCTACAGACACTGTACTTTGAGAACACGCTGACTAGTCACTTAATTCAGAATTATACAGCGTTTAAAATTCTTTATCTACTAATATGGTATAGATTGATATATTATTGCCTTAACATCGAACCAATATTACGTGAAAACGAAAATAACCTTAGCCTATTTTAGTTCAAATATAATGTTATTCTGTATAATGTAAATATAATCTATACTAATATAATAGAGACAAAGTTTGTGAATTGTGAGTTTGTGACGTTGCAGGGGGTAATCTCTGGATCAACTGAAACGATTTAGATGAAATTTGGTAAGAAGATAGTTTGGGACCCTGGGAAGGACATAGGATCTTTTTATCCTGGAAATCATCCCTTAAGGGGGTGAAAATGGGAATGAAAGTTCGTATGGGGAATCAACCTAGGGACGAACCCGAGTGAAGCGACGGTGAGTCGCTAGTGAATATTATAAATGTGAAAGTATGTATGGATCTTTGTTACTCTTTCACGCCAGAATGGCTGAACGGATCTGCATGAAGTTTGGCACAGAGATAGATATAGTCTGAAATAACAAATAGGCTACTTTTTATCCTGGTAAAATATACGGTTCCGAGGGATAGATTTGTTTTTGTTTTCCCAGGGGCAAACCCGAGCGAAGCGAGGGTGAGCCGCTAGTAAATAATAATTTTGCCCTTGTAACGTCCTGCTGCTGGGCACGAAACAACTCGGATTTTCAATGTGGTATTTCGGATATTGCAATGAAAATGCAATTCATTCGTACACTACTTACATTGACATATATTTATTATTCCTTGTATGTAACCCGCCCTGACTACTCTCAATATCTCACCAGTTTTATTATATTTGACGTATAAGACGTCTGTCTCTATACAAAAATTTACATCGACCTTTACTGTGGGAAAGGAGCACAAATCAACTAACAAACAAACAATCAGACTTACTCATGTATAATTTATTTAAAACAAAGGTTATTGTCCATTTAATTTCATATAATGTACATGATAAATTGGATTTTTTATAAAGCCGATGTCAGTTCTAAGAATAACCTAGCTATTTTGGAGGTGTCAAGTTTATTTTTTTTTACCAAAATGTAATCAGCAATCCAATACTGATTTTGTCTATTTATAGGAAAAAAACAATCCACATAGTGAGTTGAATGTTTTCACAGCGCAAGAAAAAAAATGCTTATACATATGTATATCTAAACTGTATTTTTACGTTAAATTCAGATACATATAAAAAGGCTTTTCTTACATACAGATAAACAGATGAACATGACGTACCATTGTCATTAAGGGTTCTATTTTCTCTATTTGGTTACGGAATCTTAAAAATTCGCTGTCAGCAGTAGGAACGAGTTACAGCCAACGAGATAAATTGAAAGGGAGTGTTCAGTTAGAGTAGTTTAATTTTGAGTTACAATATCGATAATAGTGAATCAAAGCAGCAATTTGTCTATTCTGAACATTAGTTATCTATGAGATTTATGGCATATGTTGCAATGCTTAGAACCTGAGGCTGGGCACGCTCTGTATGTTGAAAGGTACTAAAAAGATATTTATTATTTATAGGTAGGATCCTTATTAGATTCACATATTAAATAAATATAGTTAAAATAAATAATTTTAAAATAATTCTATAATGATATAATATTGTGCAAGTCAAAAATCTGATAATTCGATGAGTTTTTGACATATAATGTACATATATATGTATGTTATTTTTGTCTCCTTCAAAAATTACGATTAAGTAAACAACTTCCGCGGCGGATGAGTCTGGGTCATCGCACAACAGTAGTTTGGTAAGTCGGCCTTGTCCGCGTTTATGGGTCAAATCTAACAGCTTGGCTCAGCGCAATTAAACATTACCGCCCATTATTATATTTAATAACTCCACCGCTTATCGATTCATCATGAGAAGTCGTTTTATGTCTTGTAATTTTGTGATTTGGAGTTGTACTTATTTTTCGATCTACAGCAAATTTATTGCATTGTGTTGTCACTACATAATATTATAAAATAAAGTCTTCTATTCACGTCTGTCTGTCTGAACAAAAGAGCATATTGCTAAAAAAAAATGCAAAATTTATAAGTAGGTAGGTACATACTTTTTCACACAATCCTCAGCAATTATGTACTTAGTACTACGTTACGTGTGCTATGCTATATTTACGCAAATAACAGAATTGACTCGCCCTGTGATATTTGCGAACGATATCGTTTTATTCAATTTGGACTAAGTATTGCGCTGTTCACTCATGCTACAAAACTCAATTAAATTAAATTTTTTTTATTGCTATGTTCAATGGTTTTGAACTACTGAAATCACGAAAAAATCAGTTCTGCAAGAAACTTATGTAACAAATATAGGATTTTAAGTGTTTCATTTTGAAATTTCTTATTTCAATAGGATGAGAAA